AACAGTGGGTTATGATTGGTTGCTTTTGGACCAATCATGAGGTGCCGGATATGCAAATTTGAGGGATTCTAGTGGCCAATCAGAGCAAGGTTTCGAAGGTCAGGTTTTTGGAAGGGAACCAATCATGGTAATTGTTTGCTCTCTGAGAAACCTCGGCAGACTCACTGGTGTGCAGCTTCCCACACCGTGCACATGTGCCCAGCATGAGTTTTAAACAGCTGGGTCCAGCACTAGAACTATATGAGAGCAGAGCAATGTAACCATTATGCCATCTACTGGACCAAAAGAAAATTATTTAATCCATTTATTTACAAGACTTTTCTTTGTATTATGTTGATTTTTCTATGGGTTCAATCATATCATCTACAAAAAAACCCAGTTGTATTTCTTTATTTCTAATCTTAACTATTTTATTTCTTTTTCTTCACTGAAGGATTGAATATTGCTAGTATCTACAGTACAAAGATGAACAGGAATGAATATAGCAAGCAAGCGCCTTTGTCTCCTCACGTTGCCAGGGAAAAGTTCCACTTTTTACCATTTAATTTTTTTAAGAGAGATTTTTGCTACAGGGCATGTGTGCTTACTGGACACACAGAGTGAGACAGAGAGAAAGTGAGAAATCACCACCAAAGAGGGAAGACCATGCCACAGTCACTTCTCCTCTCTCCTCCTCTTGGAATTTTGGACACATGTGCACATGCAGTCAGTGTGAATTTAAGCCACAGGACTCAAACCACAGTCAACTATGTGAGAGTCCAGCTACGTAATCATGCCATCTGCTGGTCCCAAGGCACAGAGATTTAATCAATCAAAAGCCTCAATTTTATTCATCTCTACAAAGGGAATAATACACCTGCTTTCCCTGGAGAATACTGTAAATATTAAATAAAGTGATCCATTTAAATGGTGGGCACATAATAGGATGTCTCCTAAGATTTCAACCATGTCTGCTGCACTGTGACCTCTATCATTATCAAATCATGTTTATCATTATCATCATGTTGTCCCTATTACTGTTTGTATTATTATTAAACAATAAAAGTAGGGCTTCTTTAAACCTTAAAAAACATTTTTTTTGTTGACTTTATTTCTCCAACATAGCCATTGTGATACAGATTCAGAGAAGTGGACTGGAGAAGAATTTTGAAGATGTGTTATATAGAAAAGCATTGCTAATATTTCAAAAATGTAAACAATAAACCTAAGAAATTACACATCTAGGCAAATGAAAGGCCTGTTTTCAATATGACAATATGACATTGATTCTATTTACAAACATGTCCTCTTGTCCAGAACTTTTTAAGAGCAATATTGACATCCTTATTCCTCAGGCTATAGATCAGGGGGTTCAGCATGGGCACAACAATGGTGTAAAACACCGAGGACACTTTGCCATAGTCCATGGAGCTGACCGATAATGGCTGCAGGTACATGAATGCTGCAGAGCCAAAGAAGACAGAGACAGCAGAGACATGGGAGCTGCAGGTGCTGAAGGCCTTGGACCTGCCCTTGGTGGAGTGGATGCGGAGGATGCTGGCAATGATGAAGACGTAGGAGCCAAGGATGGTTAAGACAGGAGTCAGGATATTAAATGCACTGAAGATCAAAACCAATAACTCATTGATATAGGCGTTGGAGCAGGATAGCTCCAAGAGAGGAAAGAGATCACAGAAATAATGGTTGATCACATTTGTCTGACACAAAACAAGTCTTGAAATAAAGCCTGTATGAACTGTAGCCCCAGTAATACCCAAAATATAAACTCCCAGTGTGAGACAGAAGCAGAGGCGGTGAGACATGATGGCGTTGTACAGCAAGGGGCTGCAGATGGCAACATAGCGGTCATATGCCATCACGGCCAACATGTGACACTCTGAGATGACAAACACCAGGAAGAAGTAGAGCTGGGTCATGCACGCTGGGTAGGAGATGACATTCTTCTCTGTCACAAAGTTCACCAGCATCTTGGGAGTAATGACGGTGGAATGACAGAGATCAATGAAGGACAGACTGCTGAGGAGATAGTACATGGGGTTGTGCAGGTGAGGACTGAGCCCAACCAGCGTGACCATGCCCAGGTTCCCCACCACCGTGACCACATAGATTCCCAGAAAGAGGAGGAAGAGGGGCAGCTGGAGCCATGGGCTCTCTGTTAGCCCGGCCAGGAGGAACTCAGTCACCATAGAACAGTTTCCTGGGTCCATTATGCTGTCAGCAGGTTCTAAGTTTGAAAAAAATAAAATAAATGTAGCAGTGTATGTGTATGCATGTTGTGTGTGTGTGTGTGTGTGTGTGTGTGTGTGTGTGTGTGTAGCGAGAGAGAGAGAGAGAGAAATCCTTAGGAGATCATTTTATCCCTCATCAGTGGGATACACAACACAAGTCTTGTGAGCCTCCTTGGCTACCCTGGGCTCACATGTAACTTGGGTGCTCAATAGAGGAACTGCATGTGTCAGGACCTTAACCCTGAGATAATTCATAACCTCTTAGGAGAAAAATGCCATTTTTTAGATTTTTACCCGTTAGAAGAAAGGTCACTGCTAGAGGCCAGCAGGTAGCGTGGTGGTCAAGGTGCTGGACTCCCACATGGCTGATCACAGTTCAAGTCCTGCCATTTGAAATGTATTAATGCATTCTACGGAATATGGGAGAGAAAGAAAGTAGAGTCAGATACTAGCAGTAACTATTACTCCAAGGGCGTAATACAATGGCCTGAATCTAGGTCATGTACCACACCATGCTAGTCAGGGAGTAGTGGGTCACGACTGGACTTCGTGGTTGGACTGGTGGAGGTCAGAAAACTACACGTATTTCCCAACACGAAGGGTGTTGGACAGAGAGCTCTGGATGTCTCGTATCCCTGTCACTTTTCATGATTTATTTTAAATGTTATCTCTATCAGATTTAAAGATGATAGATGTGTGGCTTAGTAGAGCTCATGCAAAATGCAATTAGAAATTTTATTCTCGGGGGACCAGCAGGTGGCATGGTGGTTAAGGCGCCGGACACTCCCACGTAGCTGACCGTGGTTCTAGTCCTGGACCTGGTGGCTTGCTCTCTCACTCCTTCCTCCCCCATCTGTGTGTCTCTTTCTCTGGTCAAATTAAAATAAATGAATAAATAAAAAAAATTAAAAAAATAAATTTTATTCTCAGTTCAGTTTTAGTTAACGGTGTGATGTGGTTTTTCCAAAGGACTAATAAATACATCTTTTGTTTAGTTTCAACAAAATATATTTTATAAAAAAGAAATTTATAGTAAATAATCAAGCAATGGTTTGATCAGTGTCCTCAGCTTGGGGTACTATATTTTATGTAGCATATAGAAAAACTAGAAAACTTCAGATAAATTATCTAGAATCTTGTAATTTAAAGGATGGCCAAAATCACATGCAATGGGAGCTGGCAGGTGGTGTGGTGGTTAATGGTGCGGAATTCCCACATGGCCAACCGTGGTTCAAGTCCTGGACCTGGTGGCTTGCTTCCTCACTTTATCTCTCTCTCTTTATCTCTGTCCCTTTTTGGTCAAATTAAAAATAAATAAATAAAGTTTAATGAAATAATTCTTTAAAAAATTTTCACCTTAAAATCACATGCAACACATAGCATTTACATAGAAATGTCCAATGTATGAGGAGATGTTAAAGGCTCTGTGGGGAATGAAATTAAAGTGCAGGTTGATTTTCATACAAAAAATTTTTGAAATTCATGCATACATCTTTTAAAATATGCATTTTCCATACACTTTTTTCTGTACTTATGAAAGTTTTGGACTCATTGTATATGTCTCAAAAAAGTGAAATAAAACTAACTCCTTGAAACTATGAGGAGAAATATCTGATTTCACAACAAAAAACATTCAGCAGTCAGACATATGAAGTTCAAAAGATGCATGGAAATGCATATTGTAAGAAATCGTGGGTTTAATGGTGGTGCAGCGACAAAACACAATTCTCCACGAGGCAGACCCCCACAGGAGGGTTGCTGGTTCACGTCCAGAGACCTGCCCGGGTATACCAGATGCCCCTGGGCCTGTGACCCAGGATGGCAGACCCTGGGACTGCATCATCTCATCAAGACCCTGTCAGGAGTACTGTGTCTCTGAATCTCTTTTTGTCTCTCTGTATCTCTCTGTTTTCACATTCATGGAATACATAAACTTTGAAAAAGCTGCATATATTTCAAAAATTTTTGCAACAAATAAAGTTATACTTCAATTTTATTTTCCATGAAGTTTTTGAAGTCCCCCCATACAGTGGCTCATTAGAGCAGATACTGTCCCAGGACACAGCCCTGAGGGTAGTTAGATTGTGTCACCTTTAACATCACTTCTAATTCTCATATCCCATGACACTGTCACTCTAACAGGCCTTGATGTTAAATTAGACATTTTCTGTGCTCAAATATCATCTTAACCCCATACTTGCTGTGCGATCTTGGGAAAATTACTGCCACTCTCCAAACCTCTGCAATGCAGAAATGTTAACATCTTTCTTGTGTGAAATTCAAATTAAATGATCCATCATTCCTAGTTCATGGTGGGAATTAACAAACATTGGTGCATTTTTCATGGCCATCTGCTGAGTCTCTCCAGCGTCTTTCCTTACCCAGCGCTTTCATTCCTGTAATAATGGCTGAAGCTTTCATTTTTGTTTTTCTCTGCATATCTTGTGATGACTCCCTCCTACATTAGTACACACGTAATACAAAGATTCAAGATATATGTTACTAAATATTAAGCTCCTAAAAATAACAGTATTGGGGACCAGCAGGTGATGTGGTGGTTAATGCACTGGACTCCCACATGGCCAATGTGGTTCTAATCTTGGACCCAGTGGCTTGAAAATCAGGCAGGGTGTATGTGCTTGTGTGCTGAAAATCATGAGAAGAGAATGGAGAAGAGATTGTGGGATGAGCATCCCCCAGGGGATGTTTTCTCACTTTCCCTCTCTCTGTCTCTCTGGTGAATGGCATGTTCAATATGGTAAAAACCTACAGAGAAGAAAATTGTCAGGGCATGTAGTGTGATGGTTAGGGACTAGATCCCACATGGCCAACTGTGGTTCAGGTCTTGGACCTGGCAGCTTGAAACTCATGCTGGAGTGTGTGCATACATGGCCAAAATCCCAGGAGGAGAATGGAGAAGAAGGACTGCAGTGTGGCATCCTCTTGGGGAGTGATTTCTCACTTTCCTTCTCTCTCTCTCACTGGTGAGCACGTGTGTCCTATGTCAAAAACACAACAAAACAAAACAAAAACAACAAAATCTATCAATATTTTTCATTGTCTAAAATAAAGTTCAAACTGGTATCTATCTATGTCATTCAAAAACTGGTATCATCTAGCAACAAAAAGGAAAGTTTTCATCTTTTATTCCCCAGCAAAGATGGTATTGTTTGGCCATTCCACAGAAAAGTATTTGGTAGGGTTTCAGTTTCAACTCCTACTATTCCTCTAGTTTTTCTCTTCTCCTATCACCTCTATCCTATGAAATCCTATTTAATAAAGATTCTTTCATTAAGGGCTTTAACAGGTGAAAACCTAGCTAACAAAACCTTACTTTCCCATAAGTGTGTTTCTAATATTTTCTTTAAGCGTTTACTTAATTCTGTACTAATACTGTACTGTAAATTCAATATAATGTTTAGCACAGTGCCCTGTATACAGCAAGTCTCATAATATATGTGTCCTATATAGTGTTAAAAGAAACTTAGAGATAAGTTAACACAGATTTAAAATTTCTAAACAGAGGGAACCAGCAGTTAGCGTAATGGCTATGTCGCTGGACTCCCACGTAGTTGACCGCGGTTCGTGTCCCGGACCCGGTGACTTAAAACTCACGCTGGGCGTGCGTGCCCAAGATCCCGAGAGGAGAATGGAGGAGAAGGGATTGCGGCATGACCATCCCCCCTGGGGGATGATTTCTCGCTTTCTGTCTCTATGTCTCTGTCTGTCTGTCCGGAGAGTGCACGTGCCCTATAGCGAAAACCTCTCAAAAAATTTTTTTTCTAGAGACCCCATGTCATCCGAGCTGAAATGAGTAAATAGAAGTGCTTGGCATTATTTTATACTGCAGGGCACAGGGAGGTGATGAGCAAACCCATGCTCGACATGGATGTGACCCTAGAACATGGAGAGAACAAATCGGTAAAAGCCCGTGTATCTATTTGCCAGGGAGGTAGAGTTGAAGAGTCTCAGGTCTAAAAGCAGAGAATGCGAGTCAAACATACCCTCCCTCCTTGCCAGAGAGCTCAGTCCCGAGCATGCTCCTTCTCCATCGCTCTGAAGGAGAAATTGGTTCAGGTGATGGGAGGTGGTCAGAACTCAATGTCTCCTTGGCAGCAGTCAAGTCACCGAGTGCGACCTTCTCTCTGATGACGCTTGTGCCCAGGACCACCGGGTCCTCTACACGTGTGGCTGCTACGATGACTTTATGCTCAGTGTACATAGGAAGAGCCTGATTAGGAACAACAATAATAACGACCTCCCACTAGACTCTTATCCCACAAATGTCAACTCTTGGGAAAAGAAACAATTAGAATTTCCCCTTCTCCCCGTTGATTCTCAAGTGCTTAATCTTTTTCTTTTCTTTTCTTTTCTTTTTTGGAGAGGTTTTTGCTGTAGGGCACGTGCACTCACCAGAAAGACAGAGAGAGACAGAGAGACAGAAAGCAAGAAATCACCCCCCAGGGGATATGGCCACTATGCAATCCCTTCTTCTCCATTCTCCTCTTGGGCACACACACATGAACCCGGTGTGAGTTTAAGCCACCAGATCCAGGTCTCGAACCATGGTTGACTACATGGGAGTCCAGTGACATAGCCATTACACCACTTGATGGTCCCGTACTTAATCTTTTTTGTGTAAGAGAGATTTATTGTTCTTGTTAGAGTATGAATTGGAAACAGGATGTGAGAGATATTGTTAGACATTGTGAGTTTCATGCCAAAGCATTTAAAAATTGAAAATTTTAGGAAGTTTTTAGACATGCACTGAAAAAACTGTCCAGAGTGATTTCTTACATGGGGAATAATGGAAAACCAGGAAGAGCAATTGATGTCAGTAAGATTTTAGTTTTTGCCTTCCTTGACCTCCAGTGCTGACCTCTAGGTTAGGGCTTATGACTAATTCATAAAACAGTAAAGCATGGGACATTTAACTTGGGGCAGGATGAAAGCAGCCCCAATCTGAAATACGTAGATAT